CTGGAAGCCTCGACAACTCCTCCGCCTTCCATTGGATGTGAAGCTCCTCTAAGCAACAGTTTTTTTAAAAAAAAAATGACTTTACGTTACTTCGCTAATGAAGCGAAGTGATCACTTTGAAACCTCCTCCTTCAGCCTCTTTGCCCTTTTACTCATTCTTCTAAAGTAAAATCTGTGGACCAGAGAAGAGACAAGTCGTCTCGGCATCGCCTTCAGCGTCATCGCGTGGAATTTTTAACTACTCTATGACTGTCTTTTTTTGATGCTTCTAGTGCAACGGACTACTGACTCCCTATTCGGATACTCATGGAGGCAGTACAGGGTGGACGAGCCATCGGGTGCGGTTTATTTCCCCAAAGGGCGGAAGGCGGGCTGTTGCCATAGGATTGAAAAAAAGAGCAGATTTTTACACTGGCGGAGGAACCGACGATGGTGGCATTCATGAGGAATTTGATAATAAGTTGGTCATGTTAGCAAAAATCCGTGATCCTCATTTTTTTTCTTTTTTGTACGAGGAGAGAGCCATCAACAAAAGAAGACTTTTTAGTGCAATAACTGTCAATAGAGGATGGAAGTTATCCTCCAGTGTTTCATTTCTACAAATAAGTACACCTCGGAGGCAGAAAAGGTCGTTTGAGAGGAACACATCACTCTTAATTAAAATTACAGCCCGAAATTCGAGGTGTCAGGAAGAAGGATGGCTTGCAGAAATCAAATTAACACGCCTGACGTGCAGTCGGTGTGAGGGTGTGGGCGGACGGGGTCCCGAATTCGGCATTCTCCTCGCTGCTAACTTGGTCTATGAATCGGGAAATTGAAGCTTGCTTACCCACTTACATTAACTTTATGTCATTCCTTTGGCGGTGGACTCGAGGAGTACTGCACTTACCTTCTTAATCTGAGCGTAAATGCGTGGTAGACGTTGAATATGTGGAAAGAGCTTGCAGTCTATGGAACACGAGATTTGATTAACATCCGCCCAGACGAAATGTGGAATGCGATGCTGTACCCAGACCTCTGTTTCAGCCAAAACTACTACAGGGGGGAAAATCTGCTCTTTTAATTTCTATTTTGCGTATTTTAGTATTTATTAAAGAATGTGATCTCCATACTACTTAAAAGATTATCAGCGGCTTTTGTTGGAAAATAATGGTAAAGTTTGACATGCACTCACTTTACTTAAACGCCTCCTTTAATAGAGTAAAAAATTTAGCATTTTAAGCCTTTAGAGAATTGAGAAGTAGTGTTTTTAATCATTCAGTTATTTTAAAATATGAAGTAAAAGTCGACTTGTAGGGGAAAAAGAACAGCTAAAAGGCGGAAGCTTGATTAGGGGATGAAAGCACTTTGTTTGCTGCTAAGAACTTGTCATTAAACTTGATTGTGCGTGCAATAAACAGTTTCCGGAGTTGAGAGGACAAATGCGAGAAAAAGTTTGCTCCCCTTTACAAGTGCTTTGTTTTGTAGCCACTCTGAAGAGCCACCATTGTTGCATTAGAGGTGTCAGTGCGAGGAGAGAGAGCGAATCTGGTATCCTCAGATGGCACAGAAGGACGAGCCTTCGAGACAGTCGATACTATCTTTCAATTTCTTCTTTGTTCTATTGCTGCTACCGCATCACATCAAGAATTGCACTCCTCGACTAAGTAAAAGAGTTGAGAAGGTGGTAAAGTTCACTTTGTTTGACCTCTCAAGGCGTCTCTTGATGAGCTGTCTACTGCGATGCCTCCTCGTGGCACAAAGACTTCCTTCTCTCCTCTCCTCTCCCTCTCCCTCTAATCCGCTCCTCCACGCCGAGGTCAAAATTTTGACCAAAAGGCCAAATACACGGGAGAAGGGTGAAGAGAAAAATGCGAAAGCAGCGGATCCACCCGCCCCAAGCGGAGTGGCATTACCGGAGGTGCAACCAGAGGAGTGCCACGGAAGGAGGGAGCACTGCCCATTCCTCTTCACGCCCCCCCTCCCCCCCATTTTAAAGTACAGTATTTACGCGTCATAAATTTGCATTTGTTTCCTGACTGCCTGACTGACTTTCACATTCCATTTTGGTATTTGGGAGAGTTAATAAATCTGCCATTTTTTATTGTCCACTCCTCCACTTACCTTCCAGCCTCTTACACACTGCACAGTACAAACTGCATTGTCATTAAGTGAACAAAAGATGTTATGCGTCGGTGGAGTGTTGTTTGTTGCAGCTAGTAAAAGTGGATTTAGAAAAAAAATAAAAGAACAACACCACATCTGAGGCCACAGGAGGGGAGGAGGTGGCGAATTGGCTCGACGCCCTCTGACCGCCCTCTCAACAGGTGGACGATCTCAGCGTTCGAAACAGTCGCCTTCGTCAAGGCATCGATGCCTTAGTGGCTAATTGCATGTTTTGCTTTTTTTTTTACATGAAGACAAAATGACTTTTAATGATTAAATGAAGGTGTTGGAGGTATTTGTCGTCTTGACAATGTGATGGACGTTGTCTGGCGGTGGTTTTAATGGACTTAAGGAAATGCAAATCAAAGCTCCGAATGTGGACGTTTTCTCTCTGCTCATAGCTACTTTTTGCATCACAAAACCTCAAATCGGACCCGCCAAAATGTCGTCTCATAGTACCGATGACACGTTCGCCCCGTCATCACAAAGGAGGAGGTCAAAAGCGGTCGCATCGACTACAAGCCAGGATGTATTATGTGTGTGTGTGTGGCAACAGGAGGTTAACAAATGAAGGAGGTGGAGAAGGGAGAGGAGGAGATGGAGAAGGAGGAGGAGGAGGAGGAGACGGGGGCGGATTGTTGAAAACTGATTGATTGACTGAAGGGTGAATGGTGGATGTATTGCTTGTGCTTAGATAATACTTCGTCGACGATAGCGCACTCCACCGTAGAGGTAGTCGAGGGCACGTTTCACCAAATCCCTCCCCTCCTCTGATGCCTCGAGGGCTTCTCGTAGACGCTCCAATTCCTCCGCCTCGGCTGCCTCCTCGGCTGCTGCCTCAGGTAGGGAGTATATTGGCGCCTCCATGTGACGTTTGTAGCGGATGCCTCCAATTAAGTAAGGCAGTCGACGTTTGATGGAATCGCCTCCATCATGACCCACAACTGCCGCCTATTGCACAAACAAAGAGGCAAAATGGGGAGGTAAGCAGGTGAATGTCCCGCCATAGTGTGTCCCACAGACACAGTGGTTAGTGACCTCGTGAGATCGTGTCAAAGAAGTCTCGCCAGACATACAATCGCCTCCATCAGTGTTATCATCATCACCTCCCGCCCCAGCGTCTTCTTTTAAGCCATGAAACAAAAGGCATTTCGTTCCTTCCCTGTAGAACGACAATGTGAAATGTCCAAGTGGACGCTTGTAGGACAGCCTTAGGTGGAGTTAAACGTTCCACCGCAAACGACGAGGCACTTTTCACTACATCAGTCGCATAAATCTACTCAACCTTCGCCCTCTAATAACATCAAAGCACCTGTTTGGCATTAACAAAGCCGCACCATTCCATTGCGTCCTCCTACGTTTCCCCTTTGATGCAGGAAATTGGGCAACAAAGTAATTCCATTATTTTTCCGTAGTCTAGTTTTTTTAAGATTAAATCGTAAATCTAATTGTTGTTTGCAGATATGTAGGTTGTTTTTCTGACCAAAATAACAAAGCACATCAAAAATGACCGTCAGACCTCTCGGTGGTACAAATTAATCCGCATTTCTTCATTCCAAAGGGCTAAAATGAGCGTTTAATTTAAAAATCACATGTTAGGCCCACAATGCTTGGAAAACCTCGTTTGCTACACTAAGGAGGTCGAGGAGGAGGAGGAGAAGCAGGAGGAGGAGGACGAGGAGGAGGTCGAGGAGGAGGAGGAGAAGCAGGAGGAGGAGGACGAGGAGGACGAGGAGGAGGTCGAGGAGGAGGAGGAGGAGAAGCAGGAGGAGGAGGAGGAGGAGGACGAGGAGGAGGACGAGGAGGAGGAGGAGGAGGAGGACAACTAATCACATCATACGTTCGCCCAAATGGGATTATCAAATTCCTTTTATTGCCTCTCCAAAGAAAAATATTCGTCCATTTGGGTTTTATTCAGTGGATTGGTGATGCTATGCGAAGGTGGGAGTGCTTCTTATCGCGATTCCTTTCGCTCCCCACTTCCCCTCCCCCCTCGACCGGCACCCAACCAATGGCAGTTCAACGAGCTGTCTTAGAATAGCGCTTAACTCTTGCGTCTCAAAGGGAAGAAAAATGCACATTTCGCTATTTTAACTAGCGAAAAGGCGAGTTAAAACATCGGTTCGCTTAAATGAGGTCCAAACTAAGGGAA